GCATGGAGTGCAGCACCCTCCCTCCAACCCACTCCCCCTGGGACTTACCTCCACGATGATCACACCGACGGTTGATCTTCCCACCCCGAATTGCTGTGCCACCGAGCAGTAGCTGTCCGGTGTGGCCAGCTTCCACAGTGCAATGGAGACCCTCTTCTTGATGGGGATGGGTGCCTGCAGCCGGGTGGTGGCTCTCTGCAGCGCGGGGGTGAGCCAGGTGCACAGCTGCAGGAAGGTCCGCTTTCTCATCCGGAAATTCCGGATCCATTGCTGGTCGTCCCATAGTCTGAGGACCACCCGGTCCCAACAGTCGGTGCTGGTATTCAAACTCCAGACTGGCCTCTCCACAGTGGGGTGCTGATGCCACACGACCGCCAGGGCCTCCCTGGTGAGGGAGTCCAATGCGATCTCTGCATCCTGGTCCATGAGCAGCAGGGCACCGGCCTGCAGCACGAGCTGCAGGCACTTGTACAGCTGCAATAGGGGCCCGAGCAGGCACATGGCCACCCACGGGTCCGTGGCAGACAGGGCAGGGCAGAAAAAACAAACTGCAGGGAAAAGCAGTTGGGGGCCAACGGGTGGTGTCCCCAAAAGGCAGAGGGCAACCACCAAACCTGCTAAGGATGTCAGTCCTTGGCAGAGGTCCCAAGGCACGGGAGCAGGAGACCAACTGCTGTCCGGGGAGACCCCTTTAAGCATGTGTCTGAACGGAGCTCCGGCCCCGCCCCCGCCCCCGGAAAGGTCTGGTGGCCTTTGCCCTCTTCAAAATGGGTCCGGACTTCTGCTTTTCCGGAAAAGCGCGCTGCCAATGTAGACGCGCTTTTCCGAAAAAGCGCATCATTATAACGGTAACTCCGGGACCAATGTAGACGCTCCTTTTCTCAGGAAGTGCAATAGCTAAAGGAAGAATCCTCTCTTTCTGGAAGCATCACAGTGTCCTTGCATGATGAGGCTATCATGCCTTCACCTCCATCTTGTGTGGATGTTTTGAAACTATTTCAAGAACCAAGGAGAATAATTGCTTATGCTTTACAATTCAAATTACTTGGTATAGTTCAGTCATCTTTCAGTAGGTGACATTTCTAATCAACATATCTTTATCTGTGCCAGCAAAAACTGTTTGGCTGTGTCAGCCACCATTCCAGCTACAAGAAATTATATTTATATATCAAGGACTCAGAGTTCCAATTTTCTGTTCCTGTTTATTAGTGGATACTGTTGATGAAAGGAAAAGCATGGCGGTAGATCACCCTTGCCTGACAGGGACCAAAAAATATTTGAATTTATTTTGAAGAAAAAAATTAAGACTGCCACCCTTCAGTTTAGCTAAAGTAATTGTGCTTTGCCGTCAATGCTCAAATTCAAGTAAATATAACACGTTTTCATAAGTTTGCCATACTATCAGAAAACTCAGTTCCAGTTATTGATAGCTGGAGGTCAGACAATATCCGAAGGTGGTTAAACTGTAGCTGAAGGTCATTTCAGACTGCTTTTAGTGTCACTGGCAACACACACAATGGCTACGGATGGCATGGCTACTGGGGTCTGGAATTCTCAAAGAGGCCCAGAGCACAGTGAAAAAATTCAGAAGTGACCTTCCTTTTTGCAGGAGTAGAACGGTGCTCATGTGGGAAACAGCAATTTTGCTCAGAAGGTTAAGTGCTGCTAACTACTTCTCATTTCAGATCTAATAAGTCATCCTTCTTTGCCTACCCCTTCAGTCAGAACTCCTATTTTTCTTTTCTGGAGAGTTGATTTTTGAACTGGCAACCTTTAGCTATGCAATCTTCTTGAGTTATCTCTGCCCTATCCCCATACACAGGTGAAAGGACACCCCATTTAATATATTTTGAGAAGTGGATTTTCATAGAAATAAGGCCTCTCAAATTACATTATAGAGAAGTCTACTCAGGGCACTTTCTAATCTCCCCAGAAGGAGAGGTAGAGACCCATTCTAGATCTAAGAAGATTAAACACCTTTATCCAGTATTCAAGATGGTTATATGGGTTTTATTATTCCATCAGAGCTAGGAGACTGGTTTGCAGCCCACTACCTTGAAGATGCATATTTTCATACAGCTATGGATATGGCTCACAAAAATCTGCAATGATTCACAATAGATAAAGATCATTACAAGCACAGTGTGTTCCCATTGGGACTTTGTTTACTCTGCAGTGCCACCACTGTAGTACTTAATGAAGACACTATCTACACTGAAGGAAGGACTTCCTCCATCAGCATAGTTCCACCTTCCTGAGAAGCAATAATTATGTTGACAAGAGAAGCCCTCTTGTCAACTTGCACGGTTTACAGAAGGTGTTAGTTTAGTATATTGTGAGTACATTGCTTAGGGATGTGGATTTTCTACACCTCTGAGTGACAATTATACTGACAATTTCCTAGCCTTGACCAAGACTATGTAGTTGCAGCCTGTGTGTGGCAGCAAGGAACCATGATTTTTCTGGTTTCTGGAAGTTTGGCTCCTCAATTTTTGCCCTCCCAGTGAAGTTCTAAAGTTAATGGACTAAAGCAGTTTTGTTTCAGGAGTTGGAGATCTGAAGTTAAATGCAAAAAAGTCTGCATCTCCTCAATCCAAAGCATAGAATTTATAGTTGTAATGCTTGATTCAACCATAGCAAGAATATAACTTAGATTCAGAATTTCATTTTTAGTTTCCAGATCATGCCACAAACGCCAGTAGGATATTGTCTGACTTTTAGGGGTGTGTATGTGTGTGATGTCATGCCAAACTACATCTCCACTGTTTTCAGGGCTGTCTGTGGAGTTTATATCCCCAACAAACATTGGATGCATATACCGGTTTCAATTCTACAATCAGTACTGTTATCATTTGGTACAAGCACCTCAACACAGGTTGTATGGGGATGACCTTTACTTCACCTATTATGTCAAATTACATTTTACTCATCTCTGATTGCATGAGGAACATATCTGGATGAACATGTGATGATGTAGAACAGATGGCATTTAAAAAAAAAATCTACCCAACATGTCAATATTTTGGTACTGAGAGCAGTAAGAAATGCATGCTTACATGTCCTACCATTATCATGAGGTTCATAAGAATGACTGACAACAAAGCCAGGGTGTGTACATAAAGTTAACAAGCAAATTCTCAATCATTTTGCTTATGAAAAGAGGTGATATCTTTGCAGAGCTGATGCATGAAACATCACCAGCATAACCAAGGTGTATTTACCAGGTCTACCGAATACATCGCTAGACAAATTAATCACACATTTCTCAGCAAACTGCAAATGGGAGTGTAACAGGGTCCACCCTTCATGCAAGTGCCCTTTTGTGGCATAGAGGATTCTTACAGTCTCTACTTGCCTGTCTGTAGGCAAAGAAATATCTATTAAGTGGCTGGAGATCAGGCCTCTTCTTTTACCTCCCGAGGTGCAGTTTGCAGTGGGTGTGGTGGTGGTGGGGGGGGAATGAGAAACCCAAGCCCACCCACTCCTCTGGGTCCTGGGCCAGGGACCCTATATTAGCTGTTGCCTGTTGAGTTTCAAGTGATAAGTTGCTGTCACATCTCTGGGCCACTTCCCAGGGATGCTGTTCCATCCAGCCCTTCTCTAGGGCCTTGTGGTTGAGTTCCCCTTCTCCGGGTTCTGCAGGGTTGTCTGGCATCTTGGCTAGCCTTCAGCTGCAGGACCTGGCTCCAACCAGGTACAATGCCCACCTCCCACTCAGAGCTGTCCAGAGTGTTGCTGTTCCCCAGTCAGCCCTGAGGTCTGCCTGGGTCAAGCTCCAGGAATGAACTGACAGGCCCTGGCCTAGCAGCTCCTTTTATATCAGCTTGCTGCACCCTGATTGGCTGCAGTGGAGGCTGCCACTCTGTTCTGCTCAGAGGACCTCTTTACTGCTCCCGTTGCTGGCCAGGGTGCTGACATTACATATCATTACATATGCATTAACAGTTTTGCATTCCTAACACAGATGGATGGATGTGTTCCTGTATACCTGTTGTTCAAGGAAGGTGGGGGGATACACTTACCTCTATATTTGTTGAAATAGCTATTATATTTATATTTGCATAGATTTAATGTTATAGCATGTTTAGATATCAAAGGCCAAATCCATCCCTGTTATCAAAGGCAGCCACTTCTGTTAACTTCAGAAGAGTTGCTGCTGCTTATACCAGTTGTGAATTTGGTTTTATTGTGTAGCTTTTTATTTATCATGACATCAAAAATTAGTAAACATATATGTGCAGTTATGCTTGCCATGTTAATAGCACTTGTTCCTACCACTAACACATACTAGCTTTTGGGGACAGTGGTCATATGAGTCATATATGTGTATGTACACAAATCTTCAACTACAGGGGGTTAAAACTGGGGTCATAGTAAATACATTTTAGCCTCAGTTACACTGGAACAAATGCAGTGGCTTCAGGATTTGGCCCCCTTGAGTTTAGACAGTAACATTTTCTATCATTAGAATATCTTAATAGCTTTTAAAATACTTTGCATTGCTGTTGTGTGATTAATTAAATTCTGCAATATATTTTCCTCGTGTTCTGTTGTTTCACCTCCTGTGCATAATATGTGGTGCACCAAATCAATATTTTTCTCATTTCTAAGTGACAAATAGATCTTTGGAGGCTTAGAACTCTTCATATGTAAGTATAGCGTGTTAATAGAAAAAAAGATGCTAGCACTCCAAGTTTTTGTATGTGAAATGTGACAAATTGCAGTGAAATAATGATAAATTATAAAATAAATAGAAAAAGGAAACTGTAGACATTTTCATTTTTAATTCAATATATTCTGTTCATTGCGGTGATTTCTACATTATGTATCATTGTGGTAGATTGTATGGGGAAGTACAATATTAGTGTGATATTTGGAGAGTAGATAATATGCATGCTGTTTATGATCGTTGTTTATGTGTTGTAAATTTGAGTTCTGAGATTTGTCTCAAAAATAACTTTTTGAATTATCTTTTTAAGCTCAGGTTATTCCATTTTGTCGTGATACTCATCTGTCAATCTTCATCACTCAGTCTTTACATAAAATAATGCAGTCACCTAAACATTGTACTGAATTGTGGGAAAAAGATTATCTACCACCATGGCCCAACTGGGAGCTACTTCTAGGAACAGATTCATGCTATCAAAACAAAGTATGTGATGCAATTTTTTTTTAATTATCTAAATAACATAGAATCTGATTGTAAAAGTATATTTTAAAATCTGTTCTATGGTGAATGCTAACCTTGTACACAACACAAAATAACACACTCCCTGCCCTGAAGAGTTAGCATTCTAATAGGCACATAAGGATGTCCTGGGAGACCCAGGGTGGCAATATTAAAAAACAACAACACTTACTTCTTCCTCAAGTGGTGTCCCTGTGGGTGCTCCACTCAGGTCTCAGTGCATCCTCGCACTGCTGATCAGAGGTTTTTGGTGACCAGTGCCCCTCACGCTTCACCTACGCACCCAGTGTCTCGTGTTCCTGCCGTTTGCCAAGTGCACGCATGGCGCAAGCCCCCTTAGTTTCTTTTCTACCTTCCTCGGATGAAGACGGAATCAGCGCAGTGCTCTTCTTTCTGACAGGAAAAACAAAGGAATACTATAGTTAATGTAGAGTTTCTTTATAGTTTAATCAGTTAATGACAGTTTTCAACGTTTGCGATTTGAGAGAGAGGGAGAGGGAGAGAGAAGAGCGCTGCGTCGGCGGGTTTTCCTTCAACATGCCGGGTTCCCCCGGCTTTAAAAGATGCAACTGATGTTGGGACTCAATGCCTATTTCTGATGGCCATGCCTCCTGCATTAAATGCCTGGGAGAGACTCGAACAGCACATAAGTGCCCGCACTGTCAGAACGTGACAGCCAGAGCCAGAAAAGACCATGACATGTGGCTCAAAAACCTCCTCTGGGAGAAGTCCCTACAACCTCCACAGGACAAACCTGAGGAGACATGGACAGTAAAAGCCCATTGACAGGGTTGCTTCACCACCCCACAAAGGCTCAGAAGCTTTGCGGCCTTCCCCAGCATGCTCATTACCAGTGCTGCCCAGACCCTCTTGTTTCCCGGTGCTGTCAGTCTCTGGCACTGTGGAGAAGTGCAAGTCTGCACCAGACAGGAGAGCTGAGTCAGAACCTAAGCATGCCGCACCAGACGGTGCAGCTAAGGCAGCAGCACCCACAGGTACCTCTGCAGTGCCTGAACAAGTCATCCTTGGTTAGACCAAACTCAACTGCGCTCTGGCACTGCAGTATGAAAAAGCGCTGTGCCAGACATGGCATTTACAAAAATCTCCACAACTAGGCACACCACTCAGATCAGGAGCCTGCTCACCATGCTTCTCATTGGTGTCTCACGCCCAGGGGCACATTCATATTCCAGAAAGGGCTCCCCACTCTCCTACGCTGCTCTCACCAAGAACTGACTATGGCAGGGGACAGAGGAGTGGATTTTCATCATGTCATTCCTCCCTGTTGGGATAAGTGGCTTCCTGACATTTATATAGGGATCATTTCCTACAGCAACATCCCCTGTGGCCCTACCAGACATCATTGTATCCTTCACAGGAATTTCAACCTCAGTGGCCTCCTTGGTAACCATGGAAGAGGTACCGGCCACGTTCCTCCCATGCTTAGCACATGCAGCTTCTACATTACCACAGCACATGAGGAATGCGCTCCCTGACCATATCTGTGCCTCAGTAATAACAGAATCTGGCTCCAATGACAATGATAACTTACCTCACTTGGACTCGGAGAGTTCCTCGCATGACCCCAGATCCTCTAGACCAGATGAGGCAGTTTTCCAGGTATTGCTCTCTCCACCGGCAGAAGATCTAAAACAAGTTCAAGAATTATTTAAACAGGTAGCTTAATCACATGACATTACAGTCCAAGAGGTACAAGACAAGCAATACATATTCCTGACAATACTACAACCCTTGGCATCCTCAAAAATAGCCTTACCCATTAATGAAGCTATCTTGGAGCCATCAGCGGTGCTTTGGCAAACTCCAGCCTTTATTTCCCCTCTCCCCCCACAAATCACAGGGTGGACAGAAAATATTTTGTCCCAGCAAAAGACATGGACTTCCTCTTTGTACATCCTCAGCTGAATTCACTGGTTGTAGACTTGGTTAATCACAAGTCTAAAAACCCACAACTTAAGTCTACACCCCGAGACAAAGAGCATAAGCAGCTGGATACCTTTGGCCGCATGGTATACTCTTCTGTCACCTTCCAGTTCTGCATATCGAATTATACAGCCCTCCTGCCTAACTATGATCATGCAAATTGCTAAACTACTAAACTACCTGCTACAGGACCTTCCTGAGAATAAGAGACCACACCTCCAGTCCATCATTAAGGAGGGTTTATATATAGCAAAAATTGACCTTCAAGCTTCAATGGATGTCGCTGACATGGTGACCAGGGCCACAGCTACAGCAATTGTTCTGTGTAGGGCCTCATGGCTGCAGTCATCAGGGGTCCTAAAAAAATTGCAATCTAAGGTGGAGGACTTCTTTGATAGAAATCACCTGTTTGCCACAAAGACAGATGAAGTTCTACATTCAATGAAAGACTCTTGTACCACACTCTTCATTCTGGGGATGTACACTCCACCTAACAAGAGACGCAAATATGCCCCCTATCAAAGGCCAAGGGACTATAGTTATTACAGACAACAGCAGAGGCTATATGACAGCTGGCCCAAGCAATGTTCCAACCGAAGGAGGATGCAGCAAAACCAGTCCTCCAACACTCAATCGACTTCTCACAAACAACAAGTTTGAACTCTTGGTCAGATGTCTGAGCGACCTCCCCATAGATCCAATGCATTCCAATGTCACTTTCCATCACTGCCTGAGACCCTTCTACCAACACTGGGCCCCAATCGCTACAGACAGTGGGTCCTGGAAATTATCAAATCAGGTTACACAATCCCCTTCACATCCATGCCCCCTACCCAACTCCCTACCCTGTCCCTCTTTAAGGACCCATCTCATGAGCCCCTATTACAAGAAGAGGTACAAAATTTACTATTGCAACCTGTTCCCACAGAATGTAGAGGAAGAGGTTTCTACTCCAACTGTTTCCTAACAGCCAAAAAAACAGGGGGGTGGAGACCAATCTTGGATCTCAGGAAACAACAAGTTCTTCTTCAAGTGGTGTCCCTGTGGGTGCTCCACTGTAGGTGTCGGGCTGGTCCCAGCGCCGCAGATCAGAGACTTGTCAGCAGTCATCCGCTGAACCCTGCATGCTCCTTGGGCACCTTGTGCTATTTGCACCATTTCTGTAGTGCACGGTTCGACTCCTGCCAGTTCCTTCTAACCATCCTCGGTTGAAGATGGAGTGAGCTCCCTCTCTCGCATCTCAGTTCCTGTCAGAAGAGAAATAGTGTAGTTAGTTTTTTCTTGTAAATAGTTCCTAATCTTAGTTAATATTTACTTACTGTTCATTCAAATGTTATTAAAAATAATAAAAATGAAGTAGTGAAGACCAGAACAAATGGCTATTATGTCCGGTTCACTGGGGTACAAGAAATGTGGCGCCTCTCGTGACCCAATGCCTGCCTCGGGACAAATACTATAGAAATGCCCCCATTGCTTGAAGCTGACCACTCGAGCATGAAGGGACTGAGAAATGAGGGTCCAAATGCTTCTGTTTGACAAGGCACTCCAGCCCTCACAAGTGGAGCTCTCTCCTCCAAGATCGGACTCTGCTACCCTTGATAAGCGGTCTTCATTGGGCGCTTGAAAAAGAAACTGTCCCTGGCTAGATCACTACCACCAACCCGAGTCAGATAAGCCAGGCACTTCTGGAACAGCTTTTACAAGCAGTTCAAACAAGGCTAAGCCTGGTCGTAGAACGTCGACACCTCAGCCTAGCCCGGCACCGAGATTACCGGAATGAGATCATGCTGCACTGACAACATCGTAGGCACTGCCAATGGCTCAGCCGGCACCAGTAGCATACCCAGCACCGACAAATTATTGCTGCAGTTGTCAGGGGTCCTAAAAGATCAGTGCCAATACACTTTGTGGCCCTGGTTAGAACCTCCCTTTCACAGCCTTCAGCTGATGTGTCGGTTCCTACCAAGGCTCAATGCAAATCGCACAGGGTTATTATTCCTTCTCCTAGCCTGGAGTCAATCACCTTTTCCCCTGGATCTGTCTCTCCCTCACCTGGGCCTCAGGAGAGGTCAGGATACTGTACCTCAAGGGAATATTACAGCCCAACAGCACATCACTCCCTTTCTCCTCCACCTATCTCCGGCTTCCTACAGGTCTAGATCACCCAGATCGCCCACATTATTGGGGTATACTTGCTACCAAAGCCACTATCAGGGCAATCATGGGACTATCTACTCTTCTAGGCACTCATCACCTATCAGTCGTTATTACGGTCAACAGTGCAGCTATAGTCATTATGACCATCACTGTCCGATATACTCAGTTTCATCACATCGGTCCTGTCCCTGCTCATCCGGCTACCACCAATCAGATATTCCACAGTGCCATGCACCATCCCTTACCCCAGTGGACACACAAGTTCAGACCTTTGCACAAATTCCAACGCAGCCTCAACTCTCTGATCTGGAGGACGGTGAACTCTCTGATCATGATCAGCAACAAGGGGTTTCTCCTGCAGATCCCTCATCATCTTCTCCTGACAATGCAGTCATTCCTGGCCACTCGTCTCCAATTGATGACCTCCGTCAGTTCAGCTCAATCCGCATCCATTTAGTGGTGGCCACAGCATTCCATGAACCTGTGGACGACTTCTCTCTCTTTACACATCTTATGGTGAAGCGATTCCTCACCGGCCTGCAGAAAACGTGCCCAAACCTGCACTCCCCCCGATGCCATCATTGGATTTGAACTTGGTTCTAGACATGCTCACAAGCCACCCTTTGAACCACTAGCCTATACATCACCACAATACCTGTCCATGAAGGTATCCTTCATAGTGACAATAACATCAGATGGATTTATAGTCAAAATTGCAGCCCTCATGGCCAACCCACCTTTCACTATCTTTACCAAAGATAAAGTTATACTCAGGCCTCACCCAAAATTCCTCCCAAAGATCATATCCGACTTCCAGCTAAATAAACCCATTTACTTACCTGCATATTTTCCTAAACCTCATACCTCCTCCAAGGAGGCCATCTTGCACACATTAGATGCGAGATGAGGGATTGCATTCTAGCTGGATAGAACTAGGGGAATCAGAAAATCGGATAGACTCTTTGTTACATGGTCTGGGCCACATATAGGAACAGCTGTCTTGGCACAACATCTATCCAAATGGATTGCCAGCTGCATATATACAGCTTATGAGCTTCATGGGAAGCCGACATCATGGATTATTAGGGCTCATTCCACGTGTGCGATAGCCACAACAGCAGCCTTCCTAAGTAACGTACCATTGGTGGACATTTGTAGAGCAGCTATATGGTCCTCCCATCACGCTTTTGCACAACGTGACATACTACAGAAAGGGCTAATACTCTCCACATCTCTGACAGATGCGGTCCTTCCTTCCTCTACATAAATGTTTTCAATGCCCACCACCATCTGGTGAGTAGTACTACTGAGTCACCTGAGTGGAGAACCCACAGGGACACCACTTGATGAAGAATAAGAAGTTACCCTGTGTAGTAACAATGGCTCTTTGAGATGTGTGTCCTTGTGGATGCTCCACTACCCCCACTTCTTGCCCTCTGCTTGGAGGCTTTAAGGGACTTCAGGTAGAAAAGGAACAGAGAGGGCTTGTGCTGTGTGAACACTTGGCAAATGGCAGGAGTGCGAGACGCTGGGTGCGCAGGTTCGGTGCGAGGGGTACTGCACACCAAAAACCTCCAATAAGAGGCACGAGGATACACCAAAACCTGAGTGGAGCACCCACAGGGACAAACATCTCAAGAACAATCATTACTGCACAGGATGAGTAACTTCTTCTTTTGTTAGTCTATAAAGTGCTTACCAGACCATTTGTTGTTTTTTTCTGTAACAAACAAACTCAGCTACCCCCTGAAGTTTCTTCTTTCTGTGGGCATTATATTAGAAGTGAGTCTTTAGGAAGGGCTTTTGGGAGGTAAACTAAAATATGTAAACTGAATATCAATTAGAAGTGTACGCGACTAGTTGAGTAGTGGACTACACATATGTTTATTGGGTAGTCGAGTCACTACTTGACTAGTCACTTCCCCCCCTTGCTGCCTCCATCAGAGGCAGTAAGCGGGGAGCAGGAGCTGGTGCTGGAGGGAGCTGGATTAAAAGGTGGTTCCCTCAAGCACCATCTCTGCGGGGGTAAGGTGGGAGGCAGGGCAGGGCAGGCAGAGGTGCAGCATGGGACTCGGTGTGAGCCGGGAATCAGCTGACTCCTGGCTCACACTGGGTCCCAGGCTGAGCCTCTGCCTTTTAAATGGAATAAGAGCTTCCCGTTTCTTACTCAATTTAAAAGTCAGAGCTGCAGTGGGGTTAGCTCCCAGCCCTAGCCCCGGGAGCTAGCCACTCTGCGGCTCTGCAGTTTCCCCCCTTATTGACTAATTGAGTAGTTGATGGAAATTCCATCAACTATTCAATTAATTGATTAAACACAATTTAACATCCCTAATATGAATATACCAAACTGAATTTATGTAAGAAAGTATAGGTCCTGTGTTTTTTAGTAGAAGTTCAACTTATCTATTTTGACAACTACTTTTTTGAAACTTTAATTTACAAAAGTTGCCCGTAGACATCTTAACTGTTTTTAACAGAAAAAATGTAATTAGACCTACCTTTTGTCAAAATGAAATTTGTAACTATTTCTTATATTAAATCTACAGATTGTGACTCTTCTGTCTGTTCTTAGTAGTTCAATGGCACAAGTTGAATCATATAGCAGAAACTTTATGCGTTACTGTGCCATAGTGGATGATGTGAAAACCATGAATATGGAAATCTTAGCACTACCAAGGGAATTATCACCACATGATTTCAGAAGCATCTTAAATAAGTATACAGATAATATAAAAGAGATTATATCCATGACAGTTGAAAAACGCATTCATATGATTAAGGTCAGAAGTGTTAACTATCAGATGGACTGCCTGCCATTTTTTGAAACCTTGATTAATATGATACGTTCATCTTTGTATGCAATCGTTGAGGCAAGGAACTTACATCTCTTAGAAGTAAGTGACTTGATCATTTTTATTTCACACACATCTAATGTTAATAAATGAAAATGTTATAGAATATTGTATGGTATTATTCCACATATTTATTAATCCACAACCTAATGAAATCAAATAACTGCTTACTTGCTATGATGTCATAAAAAGATTATGTAATCAAAATTGCTATTTTTATACTTTCAAAGGGAAACCATAAATTATGGTTCTTTTAAAAAGTTACTCTAACTATGTTATAAAGGTTTCAACATATTTTATTTCTCTGTTTACCACAGCAGATTTTCTGACTTCCCAAGAACATTTATTTTCTAGTTCCACATCCATCCATCCATTGGATCAGTTGCCTTTTATTATCCTAACATCTGCCCTGGAAACTAAGTTCTGTATAGTGAGATACATATTGGACTTGCACTCTTCACACTTACCACTCTAGGAAGCTATACTTGGGGCATATATGTCATCTTCAAAATTGTTTCTTATAAAATATGCTTCCAATGCTTCTTCAAGTGGTTGTCCACATGTACTCCATTTATGTTGTGCAGCACGAGGCAAATATCTTTGAATAGGAGTTGCCTCAGGTGTGCAGAGTTTTAGGCATAAATTATGGGGTGGGCAAAATTGCTCTTAAGTTCCTTGTTGCCACCTGTAGCCGTAAATGGAACATCTATAGTATGTTTGCTCATTGTACAACTTAATTCTCATAGTTAGCTGTAGTTAGTTATGTAGTTAGTTTCATTCTTTCTCACCCCCCAAAAACTTTTAGCTTGATTGTCAAGTCCATGTGCTGCCTCTTTGTACCAGACCCTTGGGGATGGGGGAGTCCAAGACCCTGGGGTTTAAGACCTGGTCTCCTTGTGAGGAAACCATTTCTATCAACAATAGACAGTGTAAAAGCCTCATCTTCTTTGAGTAGTGTCCCCATGGGTGCTCCCCTGTAGGTGTTGGGTCGTGCCCAGAGCCACAGATCAGAGTTCTCACAAGCAGTGGTCAACCAGACTGCACGTGCACGGCACGTGCCTCACACTGTTTGCGCTTTTTGATCTCTCACATGGTTGCAGACGGAGCAAGACCGTTGTCCTCAATGACTCTAGTCAGAGAAGGAATTTTGCTTTACATTTGTTTTCTATACATAGTTCAGTTAGTTTTTTATTGTTAGTCATAGTATAGTTCTAGTTACTTCGTTATATATATATAAAAAAACAGGTTTTTCCATGTTAAATGTTCTTTAAAAAAAAAGAGAAGAGAACACAAGAAAAGTAAGTTAGAGTCTGGTTATCCACTATCAAGACAGCTGCAACTAGCTTCTTAACCATTCTGGGTTTGCCTGGTTTTAAAAAGTGTGTCACATGCCAGTATCCAGTGGCCATGCAGACTGTATCAAATGTCTGGGTAAATCTCATGTGCCTCAAAAATACACACACTGCGCAGAACTTACAGTGAGAGCGTGGTGTGATAAAGAAATGAGGCTCAGGATGTTCTTAGTTGATAAAGCCCTGGAGCCCTCCGATTCAGATTCTCAGAGAAAAGAGAAATGGAGAGCTTCTCCTACAGCTGCTCCCGCTCCTAAGAGAACTTCACTAGCCTGCTTTCTACCACCGGCCTCCACAAGTAGAATAAGTACTGAGGAGAAGCCGGGGACATCTGACACTGAGAAATCGCAGCTTTAAATGGCCTCAGAGCCAAAAACTCAGCACAGAACATCTGTGGCACTGGTAGCTATGGCACTGGCAAGACAATCGGCACCACGGGCTGCAATACCGTCTTCATCATTAACTTCGGGACTACACGTAACAACCCAGTCAGCACCGGGTCAATCCGCGCAGACATTGGCACTGACCCATGCAATACAAAAAGTGGCATTGACTATGGAGCAGACATCGGCACTGACTCAACTGATGCAGACACTGGCAACAACGCATTCAGCACTGATATTGACACATGTCTTGGAACTTTCGGCATCAGAAGAGGCTGGTAGCCCCCTGGCACCAAAGAAGACAACTCATAAATCTCACAGAGCACAGGATCTGAACCCGAAACCACTTACTTTTTCACCTGCTTCTCACCTTCACTTTATTCACCGCTGATGTAAACAATCAATCTCTCTCATGTGACACAACAGTCATACACTTCCTTATCACCTCCTCCATCTTCAAGAGGTTCTTTTAGATCACTCCATTCTCCCACTCCTTCTCCTCATACTTACCATCTTGAACGTGGATTGAGTACTGGTTCACTATGATACCACTCTCCTGATAGACTGGAGTACCGACACCATAGCCATTCACACCACTACAGCTACTCCTCACATTGGTCACCGGGGGTATGTCTACACTGCCACCCTAGTTCGACCTAGGGTGGCTAATGTAGGCATTCGAAGTTGCAAATGAAGCCCGGGATTTAAATATCCCAGGCTTCATTTGCAACTTCGAATGCCTACATTAGCCACCCTTGTTCGAACTAGGGTGGCAGTGTAGACATACCCCATGATATTACCACTGAAGACATGGGTACCATCCATCCTGCTGCCAGGAGCACCTGCCCATACGAGCATACTCACCTTCTCTTGCACCACATGGACCGGAGCTTATAATGTCCTGTTTGAAACCCCAACCAGTACACCAGTATTCTGAACCCAAAGAGGGACAGATTTCTGAGACGGAGGAACAACAGCCAGACATGCTGCCAACAAACCAATCCTCCTCATCTCCAGATGAGGCAGTTATCCCCAGTGACCAATCGCCATCAGACAACCTCAAACAATTTCAGGAGCTTTTTAAAAGGGTGGCTGCCAACCAAATCCTACAGGTCACTGAGGTCCAAGAGAAACACCATTGCATTTTTAAAAATCTCCAGCCCTATCAGCATTCAAAAATAGCCATACCTGTAGATGAGGCTATTATGGAGGCTGCTGGCAAGATATGGCAGACCCCAGCATCAATAACCCCAATGAACAAACAGGCAGATAAAAAGCATTTTGACCCCCCAAAGATGCAGAATTTCTCTTCTCCAAATTCTTGCTTCCGCAATATAAAAATAATTTGGCAGATAAGGAGAGCAAATGCCTTGACATCTTCGGTCAAAAGATGTACTCCTAATCCTCCCTGCTCCTTAGAATAGCTAATTATGCAGCATTACTCCTCCACGGGGGTCCCCCCATTATATATTTTTCCTCCAACACCACTTGTTTCCAGGGTTCTTGAGAAGATCAACAGAGATGGCACAACAGTGATTCTCATAGCCCCATTTTGAGCACGACAGACTTGGTTCCCATAACTTTATCGGATGTCTCCTCAGTCATTTTAGCACATTCCTATGCATTCCAATGTCCTAATCCAGAACAAGGGTACTATAATTCATCCTCAACCCCATACGTTACAGTTGACAACCTGGCTCATAATTGGTTCCAAGAAGACAAACTCCAATGTTCAGATAACGTAAGAAATGTTTTATTGCATAGTAGAAAGCCACTCAATCTGCTTACCTTCAAAAGCGGTACAGATTTTTATCATAGGGTGTGTCTAAACTACATGCCTCCGTCGACGGAGGCATGTAGTTTAGACACACCCTATGATAAAAATCTGTACCGCTTTTGAAGGTAAGCAGATTGAGTGGCTTTCTACTATGCAATAAAACATTTCTTACGTTATCTGAACATTGGAGTTTGTCTTCTTGGAACCAATTATGAGCCACCTCAAAGAACTCACTTCACCAGGTGAGTAACCTTCCCTTGGAAAGAACCATAATCCTCATTACTTAGTACCAGAACCTTGGAACTGAGCATATCCTGGCACTTGGACTTTTCCTAAGCATCAGGTTATATACCACCACAAATACCCTGGTCAGCATCACCCTTACTCAGTGGCAAGGAGGTATTCAGTTTCTTGTTCTCTCTGGCCTGCTGCTACACTATAAGGGTTCTTCTGAATTCCATTGAGACAATCCTTGATCTTACTATGTCCCTCCCAGGGCAATCTCACTACCAGAATCCTCCTCACCAATGGTGGTATTGGAAACTTTGGGTGACTTAAATATTGCAGCCATCCAGTATCTCTCAGAAAGAGTCCACCAGACAATTTCCTACAGCCTCACTGTCAGAGACACCAATCTGGGGAGGAGAAACCTTTTGCACAAAAGAAAGAAGGACTCAAAGGGGAAGCTTCTCTTCCAGCAAACTTCTCTCCATCTCTACCAGATGTGGCTGAAATGCACTCCCCTCACTAGATTTTAAGAGAGCTGACAACAATACCATGTTCTTCTCAAAGAGGCAGACTTTTTATTTCAACATCCAGAACCCAACTCAATCATAGTGGATGTGGTTTATGAATGAGACAAGCAACATCATGCCAAGCTGACTTCATATACTCAGGATTGGAAAAGACTAGAACTCTTTGCATGGAAGGCAAATACATCTGGAACATTGTAGTTTACAGTCATGAACTACCAAGCTGACATGGCCAAATATGATTTTATTTAATTATGGGAAACTCAGTACATTTCTGGAACATTTTCTAGAAACACAAAAGGAATTGTTTCCCGCCATTATCAGACAGGGTCAGCTAGTAGCAAAAATGGTGTTACAGATGGCACTGGCTCCAATTAATATAAGGCTCTTGGCAATAGCTTTCCTGGTTGCCCTAAGAGCTACAGACAATGGTGAAAGGTTTGCTGTTTGAAGGACCAAAGCTCTTTGCACTCTTCTCTCCACATCTTGAAATATTCCCAGGCTACATTACAGATGCCTAGGAATCTACTATGTGAGACAGAAGGGAAGATATAGCTCTCAGCCACATCACGGGTCATAACCTCCTTAATACCCACTCTCAGGGCTATTATGGCTGTCATGTAAGAGGCCCAGAGTTCAGAAGTAGTCAGCATCTCAACCAGTGACCTCTCAGACAGCTTCTTCTAAGCGCTTTTGATGGGTTGGTTGAGGGTTTGTGCAACTATACCTTACAACATGAGCTGCCATATACACTATCACCCTCCTTCAGAAATCATCT